AAGGGAGACTCTGTCTCAAAAAAAATAGAAATAAAAATAAATAAATAGTTTTTTCTGACTCACATACTGAGAGTTCTGCAAAGCAGCCTTTGGCCCAGTGCTGAGTATATTATATTATATTATATAAATATAGAATATTGTATTACTATGTCTGCATTGAGCTTCTCTACACCGGATTGGAGGACAAGTCTTCCTGTGTGAGCAGGGAAGTGGTGGGGACATGAGAAAGGATGGTGTTGTCCGATTGGCCTGAAAGACAATCTGCCTACCTCTGTCAGTATCTTATGAGTCAGGCTCCTGGAAGGACTGTGGGGAGTGCTTCACATCATGGAACTTGAAAAGGTGAACAGGCATCTCAGATTTCCTCTTAAGCTGAATAACAGCTTACCTCATCCTGATGTTAAGAGCTGCTCAAAGAGTTTGCTCATTCCAATGTGAGCCTACCACTTAGTTAGGTGAATTTTCTATAAACCTAATAGCAGAAATGTGCTTAATTTTAAATGCGTGGTCAAGGGGCAAGCAGGTAAGAAAGAGGAGAGGAAGAAGAGAAAATTGATATGATCAGTGGTAGTGTAAAAAATTATCACCTCCCCATTAGTCAAAAAAATAAATGGATGCTTAAATGCAAAAGACTTAGACACCACAGAAAAGCACAAAGAAAACAGTAACAACACAAATGATTTTATTAGCCAGGTATGGTGACACATGCCAGTAGTCCCAGCTACTCAGGAGGCTGAGATGGGAGGATTGCTTGAGTTTAGGAGTTTGAGTACAGTCTGGGCAACATAGAGAGATCCTGTCTCTTAAAAAATAATAATAATTTTATTACCCAGAGATAAACACTGTTAACATATGGCTTGTTCCAATCTAGTCCTTTTTCTATGCTATGAATATATATATATATATGTTTGTGTGTGTGTGTGTGTATTTAAACAGAATAATAATATGTATGCTTGTTTGTAGCCTACTTTTGAAGTGATCATCTTTCTATGTCAATAAGTATTCTTAATATTATATGATTTTTATGGCTACATAGAATTCTCTCAAACAGAAAATGCCATACATTTCTTAACCAGTGCCCTATTGCCCTCCATTTAATGCTACTTGCAGAAGCTACCTGCCATTATAGAAAATTTCATGAATGAGCCTTTACAACAAGTTTCACCATATATGGATTTATGGGATCACTGCATATTATTGGAAGACATCAGAGGTCAAGAGTAATTCCATTGATTAAAATAATTAATGTGTCTTTTTTTATCTATAGATTTCCCCAATTCCCCTTTTTGACATTAGTCATACTAATATTCATATCACAATTTAATGTAACCTCCGTCAGTTCTATGAATAACATTTGTGCAGCAATGAATTTTACCTAAAAGACACAAAGCAGATTGCAAAACAATTTTATTATAATGCCACTGATGTGAGTCATTCATCTGGTAGGTATTTATTGAGTGCCTAAAATAAAACCATTCCAAGAGGGCAATATTCCACCAACACTGAGCTCCTATAATGTACAAGAACACTAAGAGGTATAACTTTTTTTAAAGGATTTGCTTTCTGTAGAGAGGTAGAAGACATGGAACCAAGACTAATTAAATAACAGCACTAAAAGATATCGCAAGGTAGTTTCCAGTAATGGGTACAGGTTATTGCTGTAAATCCGCTGTAATTTTTTAAAGATTGGTCCCTGAGGGTTAGAGTAGTCAGAAAAGGGTTTATGGAAAAAACACTAACTCTTGAAAGGTTTAAGAATATAGAAATGAGAGAGAAGAGCTTTCAACTAAGTCTAGGAGACAAGCTTACTTCTCGTTAGGGGCCCAGTAAGTCAAGCTTACCAGAAGTCTAAGAGTAGGAGGTAAAGTCTGAAGACGATTAGTGCTAGGCAGGGAGGCCCTTGAATTCCGGGCTAGCCATCAGAGCCCTGGCTCCACCAGAACAGCATGGGAGGAGGCTTTTAAGCAGTAGAGTGATGTGGCAGCCTGATACCTTGCTATGGTAAAAGTCAGTTCTTAGACTTTATGTCTTCTGAAATCTCTATAGTAAGACATTAAATTTATATTGGAAGTTAAAATTGTTTACCTATCATCACTTCTTTACACTTGACCATTGATCACGATCCATATGCAGAAGAAACCAACTTATTGGTAAAATAGTCCAGTTTTACACTCATGTGCAGAATTTGCAAAATTAAGTTTCAAAGGTCCAGAAATTGAATAAGAACTTTTCTCTAAAATATCATGATTAAGACACTGGTCTTAATTCAGTGAAGTTTCTTTTACTAACATTTTTGTGTTGTTAACTTTTTTATTTTACAAAACAAATGCAACATTATTGGAGATATTTTGAAAGTAGAAACAAAATCTTACTCCCAAATCCCAAACGTAACTATTTAAATTTTACATGTATTTCCAGTCTTGTCAAAGTGCATGTTTACTTTTACCCAGTTGCAATAATATTATTATAAGCATTGTAAGCATGCTAAGCAATATACTATAAACATATTAAAACAATCATTTTCCATAATGATCGTTTTAAGATTTGTATAAGCATCTTTGAGTATATGTATCCAATTTAATCATTCCTCCATGTTTAAATGTTTTCCATTTTTTTCTGTTTTGATTAGAACTTTCTATCTGGTGTGCCACTGCCATTCTGGTGTGCAGACTCGGTGCAATATCTCCTTAGTCCTGTGGGAGGCCATGGATGGAGCGTGTGGTGACTGGAGCCCCCATGCTCTCTGGCAGTAAGAGACATCCTTGACTGATTACTTCACTGGATTGTACAAATATTTCTGATGTGCCATTATATGAAAAAAGTTGGGATGCATGTTTATAGTGATGCAGCAATCATCTTCAACTTCTATTACTATTACTGGGCATTGAACTTGGAATGTTGTTACAATTGAGTGTTTTTGTGTGTGGTTTTTTTTTTTTTTTGAGATAGGATCTCTCTCTGTCAGTGCAGTGGCATCATCATAACTCACTGCAACCTCAAACTCCTGGGCTCAAGCGACCCTCCTGCCTCAGCCACCCACCCCCTTCCCCTAGTACCTGGGACTACAGATATGCACCACCACACCCAGCTAATTTTTTTGTTTTTTGTAGAGGTGGAGTCTCTCTCTTGGTTAGGCTGGTCTCAAAATCCTGGCCTCAAGCAATCATCCCACCTTGGCCTCCCAAAGTGCTAGGATTACAAGTGTGAGCCACTGCACCTGGCCTGCTTTTTTCATCTAGTAATGTGATTTGGAGATTATTCCACATCAGCACATGCAGAGCAACTTCATTCTTTTCAATGGGTACTGTATTTTAACTACTTCCTACACATGGATCTTTAGGTTGTTCCCAGACTTTTGTTACTATAAACAGTGCTCCAACAAATATTCTTACATAGTGTGAATTTAGCTGTGGAATAAATGTCTAGACAAGGAATTGCTGGGAAAAACAGCATAATCTTATAAAATTATGATTAGTATCATTAAATTTCCTTCCAAAGAGGTTTACTATTTTTATTCCCACTAACAATGCATATGAAGGCCTATTTCCCAAGCCAAGAATAACTCAATATATCTTTATCTGCTCGAAGGATAAAAAATGGTATCTCACTGACTTGATTTGCATTTAACATAAGATTAAATTTTGTTTTGAACATTTTAAACCAAGGTTTTCTCTGTAATTACAGAAAAAAATCATCCATAAATCTGAAACAGGCACAGATACTACTAGGTGATAAGCTGACGAGAACAAATTCGAAGCAAAAGCTGGTTGGAGTACTGCCCAATGATGAGGATAGCAATAGTGTTTCAATCTTTGCGCGGTGCCACCTCTCCTTCTCGGTTTCCACTTGGAAACAGGTAGGTAGCATTTGGGAGTTACAAGAATGTGTGGTGTGCTTGAGCCTCGCTTAGAGTATGGACATCTGGAGATACTATGGGGAACCAGAGCGAGTAACGGGGAAATAATGTAAGAAAAAAAAAGAATTTAAGGACTATCTGATCTGGGAGAGGCTTACAGAAATCAGCGTTTTGGATCCTATTTATTGCTATTCCTGCACTTCATTAACTGGCAGGGGTCCCTGCTTAAAGTATGTTGAGTGTTGTTGGGGAACGTTATTGGCATTGAACCTGTCTTGTGAGAGTTTTTTAGAGAAAATGAGAGTATGCTGTGAGGCATGTTCTGTTCGCAAATTATCCACCCCCCCCCACTCAACCCCATTCATTATTGATTTTGGGGAACTGATGAGCAAGACAGGAATATGTATGTCTGCACATAAGACCCTCAAACCAGGCCACTCAACGTTTGATATGGACCTTGGTTCACACAGAAGGTATTCCAAAGGTAGAGACAAATATAAAGCCTCCTGACGCCTTGAAAAAAAAAATCCTGACCATCTCCCACCTCCCCCAACATGCAAGAAAAACCTGTATTACTGAAAACAAAGCAAAACACCAAAAACAAACAAACAAAAGAAACCCCTCTATCCTCACTGTCTTCTATTGTATTCTAGTCTGTTTTACTGAGCTTTGGATGTTAAAAAAGTGAGGAGCGAGGCTTAGTGAGGTAACACCGAAGCGTATGGCGCAAATTCAGACGTGAGCCTCACGTTCGATTCCAGATTTGCACATCGAGTCCCACCCCTGCCCAACCCGGGGACGTCACCGCTCTTTTCTTCCGTTGTTTTAAAAGCAAGCGGTTCTTAAAACCCCCAGTCCTGCTCTTTGTGTTGGCCTTCTCCGAATCACCCCTTCGCGAGCTGCCGACCTAGGGCAGCCAGCACCGCGGCGGCGCCCCGCGGCAGCCGGCCGGCGTGGGCGAAGCCCCTTCCCGGCCGCGTGTCGCGCGCCCGGCGCCGGGGCTCCCGCCCCCGGGCCCGCCGGCCGCACGGCCCCTCTCCGGCGCCTCCGGCGCGCTGCGGCTGGCGCTCCCCAGCGCCCCGCCTGACGCTGCAGCTGGGCCGGCGACTCGCCATTGGATTAAAAATAGCAGCGTCGCCCGCCCCAGGCCCGGTGCCCGCTCCCGCCCGCGGCCGCTTCCGCCGCCCGGCCGGCCGGTTCCGTCGCCGCGCAGCCCGCACGCCGGCCGCTCGCTGCGCGCGCCGCCGCCAGACCCCGCGCTCCGGCTCCGGCCCGGCTTGGCTCCGCTCAGCCCGGCGCGCGCCGCGGCCATGCAGCGCCGGGGAGCCCTGTTCGGCGTGCCGGGCGGCAGCGGCAGCAGGAAGATGGCTGCAGGGGACATCGGCGAGCTGCTGGTGCCCCACATGCCCACGATCCGCGTGCCCAGGTCCGGGGACAGGGTCTACAAGAACGAGTGCGCCTTCTCCTACGACTCCCCCGTAAGTGAGGCGCCTCGAGGGAGGGTCGCGGCGCCGGCGGCCTGGGGCGGCCGCCCCGCGGGACCGGGCGGCACGTGAAGCCGGGGAGAAGATGCGCAGTGGCAGCCGGGGACCTCCTCCTCGCGGCAGAGTTGGCTGCGGCTCCGGCACTGCAGTTCGGCACGCACTTGAGAGCGCCCCAGGGCTGCTGCCGCGGGAGCCTGGGCCGTCAGGGTGGCTGGCTCCACCGGCCTGGCGAGGCTGAACGGGCCCGATTCCCAGCAGCCCGTCCCCAGCCCCGCCACCGTTTGAAAGATAAGAGTTCCCCATTCTGAGCTGCACCGTGCAGATTGTTTGCGCCCTCCCCGGGGCGAGAGCGGAGGGCGGGTGGGTGGACGGGACTGAACCTCCGCGCACCCCGGACGCTCAGCGCGTCTCTTTCTGGGACCGCTGGCCTTGCACGGGGATCCCCACCCCTGGCTGGGCATTTCTGATTTTCTCTTGGAGCTTTTCTTCTTCCACTTCCCATTTCTCCACACTCCTTTCCTTGCCATTAGCATGTCAGAAGAAATCTTGGGTGCCTCCACTCGGGCAGCAGAAATAGGGGATCTACTACTGGATTATGATGGTTTTCTTAAGCCTTTCCCACTTCGCCTTCTAAATGAGTCACTTAGGCTGCCATGCACTAGTATAAATTATTAAAAGTTCAATCCTGAGTCGTGAGCTCAGAGAGTGGAGGGAGAAGTTGAGACGGATCACCACCTCCACCCAGGGCGGTTGCTGGTGGTTTTCACCTGGTTGTATGTGAATGTGTGAGAAGCAGAAGCAGGGTGAGTGTCCCTTTCAAGAGTCAAAATGGGCTTCAAAGTGACTCAGCTGTCTGGCGTTTATCATGCCTTTTTGAGGACCAGGTTATTTTTATCCACCCACTTTAGATCTCATATGTCACCCGGCAGATCTCAATGCATCGGGAGGTACATGGGTCAGATGGACAGTGGCAGGTCTTACAACAATAGTCTGACACATTTTATTCATAGTGTGTAAAGTGTTGTCAGAGGCAAAAAAAAAAAAAAAAAAAAAAAAAAAATCTAAATGAGCAGTGAATTTCCCAAAGTTTCCTTTATTATCTGTGGGTTGATTTTGGCTGGTTTCAAAGCATTTTTGTTTGGTATACATTAGAGTACCAGAATTAGTATCCTCTCTAATTGTGACATTCAGTTTTTCTTCTGTGCTAATTCCAGGTCACTTCAGGATAAAGTCTAACTTATTTGTTGATTACTTATTTTTTTTTTCTTTCAAAAAGATCCACAGAGTGGAGTGTGGCTGTCAGCAATGGCTTTAGATCCTGTTATTTACAAAGTATTCGAAAATGCCATTTTCAGATTGGCCAGTGTTGGGCAGGTTCCCACTAACACCTCCTAAGGGTGGAGAGGGATGATAGTCCTAACTAACTTCAGCAATTGACAGATTGAGAACTCTAGGAAGAAGAAAATGGCCTAAGTCTTTTAGGATAGCACAGCATGTAAAATGGGTCCAACAACTTTCTCCACATTTGATTTGGGCTACTCTTCAAGTTCTGCTTACAAACTATTGGAAATCTTTGCCACGTTGATATAGGGTATGGCAGTTGTGAAAAAAAACCTGATCATTTTAATTCACTTGTGTAAGTAGTTATTGGGAGTTTATTGTGTGCCAAACACTATTTTAGAAACATCTTGTCCCGTGTAAACTGATGATTTTATTCATATCACAGTAGCTTGTTTGGGGAGACTCAGATTATTTATATGGCTAATTAATTAGTATATTTCATTATCTGCGTTTCAGGGGAGGAAGAGAAGGTTTCATAACAGGTCATCTCAAAGCATGGTGCCTGACAATGGAAAGTCTATGGTGTTGAATGCTTAACACTTAATTATGAATCCAATAAGAGTTTCTTTTTTTTTTTTTTTTTTTTGAGACAGGGTCTCACTTTGTTGTCCGGGCTAGAGTGCCGTGGTGTCAGCCTAGCTCACAGCAACTTCAAACTCCTGGGCTCAAGCAATCCTCCTGCCTCAGCCTCCCGAGTAGCTGGGACTACAGACATGCACCACCATGCCCGGCTAATTTTTTCTATATATATGAGTTGGCCAATTAATTTCTATTTTTAGTAGAGACGGGGGTCTCGCTCTTGCTCAGGCTGGTTTCGAACTCCTGACCTCGAGCAATCCTCCCGCCTCGGCCTCTCAGAGTGCTAGGATTACAGGGGTGCAATAAGAGTTTCTCGAGCACTTCCTCCTCTGTGCCGACTCATCCATGCATGGCCGTAAGAGCCATAAAGAACAAAATCCATCGGCGCTAAACACACCAGACTTAAGTCCACAAGGGCTGTGGGACTGTGTTAGAGAAAAGACTAAAACCAGTTGAATGAAAAAAAAATCATTCTTGCATTGGATACTTTTGAAGAAGGTCATAGACAAAGATAGATACAAAATACAGGAGACCAACATTCTAGGCAAGGGAAATTACATGTGCAAACACATAAAGTGTGATTATTTTCTACTAATTTGCCTGTAGTGTATTTGGAAGAAAAAAATTGATTTGACAAGTAACAAGAATGAGGCCAGGACTAAGCGGAGAATAGATGATCGGGCCTGAACTCTGAAAAATGTTTGATCTTGATTTTATATAGTCAGTTATGGAAAGCTACTCTAAGTAACGTGTTACAGGAAGACTATGAATCAACAAATGTTTATTACATACCTACCATGTCTAAGGCACAGTCTGAAGATCTTTGCCATTCTTCACCTTTGTGGGATGTGAGAATTGGGAATCACCGGGGATCATCATGTAGAATGTGATGACGTCATTGATTGTGGAGGACACACATGAAAGAGAGAGCCAGATCGGCAGGGTTTGAATCCTAGCTCTGTCACCTGGCTGGGTAGCTTCTCTGTGCCTCAGTTTCTCCATCTGTAAAATGGAAACTAACAACCTAACTCAAAAAAAATCTTTTTTTTTGTGGATTAAATAAATTAATATGTAAAGTGTGTCTGGCTAATTAGTTATCACTATACATATTGCTTTAGAAAAAAGGAAGAAAGAAAGAAGAAAGAAAGGAAGAAAGAAGGAAGGTAAAAAAGGGCCAGTCACAAGTTGTGAGCCCAAGTTGGGTTGTCTGGTGTTACGTAGAAAGTTTTGCATGGTTAAGTGGGGGAATTATCCTGGTTTGTGCTCCTGCTCACAAGCCTTCCTGGGTCAACATGGACATCCCCTATCTCCTTGATTGTTGAGCTTTTCCTTTATCTAGGTGTACTTTGTCCCGTCTCTTCAGTTTCCAGATTGGCAGCTCCAGTAAGACTGGTCTCTGGCTTTTGCTTTTCTAAGACCATTTTCCTCTTGTGATCATTTTTCAGGGCTCTTTTTCAACCTTCCTCTTCTGTGTCAGACTTCATCCTTTCGTCTGACTGCCTACATTACTGTGGCATGCAGCACAGCAGTCTGTCCTCCGTAGTGTCCCATCTTGTGCTAATTATGCCCCCTCCTCACCCGTATTGTGAGGGGAGCAGTTGTTTATACCTCATCTTAGCTTGGCTCAACTGAGTATGTGGAGGCTTAGACAAGGCTTTGGAACAGGCAGTTTATTTTGGAGTAGGGAGCAGATGACAAGGGAATAGTGACAAAGGGAAGGAAGGAAAGCCACTCTAAGAGCCAGTTACTGAGCTGACTTCCACAGTGGGCAGCTGGTGCTAAATCCCACTGGGCACTCTCTGGGGAACTGTAGAATGTGCCTCAGAATTGTCCACTTGAGACATGGCGGAGGGGAGTGTGGTATTTATCCACTGACTCCCACCCTCATTGGTCAGGGTTACTCCAAAGGTGGGAACACTCTCACTCTTCCAGGACGGTATTTGTGCCTGAAGGGTTGAGCAGGCTCCCGCAGACTTCCCATGACCAGTGGCAGCTGAGAAGCAAGAGATCCTCCATGCGGCTGAGGCTAGGACCACTGGGTCACACCTGCTGTGACAGTCAGCTGCACACAGTGACTAAACCAAAAAGGTGGACTGAGGGGATAAAAGACTCAGCATAAACTGTGCACAACCCTCCCACCCCAGCATCAGGACTATTTTGTTAGAGGAACATTTTTTCCTGTTCTCCAAAGTTCTGAGATGGCTTGTTGATATTGAGATGTCATGGTTGGTTCCCTGTCTTCCTGGGCATCTTTGCAAACCTCTGTTGGACAGGAGTCTGGTAGTATAACAGTGGCTGGCTTAGATATCTACCAGGAAAGACTCTGAGATCTCCATGTACTTGTGGGAAGACTTCATGTTAGGGGTCCAGTAAACCCTTCTTTCTGTCCTTCCTTCTGCAAGCATTTATTGATATGCCTGGTACTGTCTCAGGCATTGTGGGTAATAATAATGACAGCTGGTGTATATAAAGCAGTGGTTCTCAAGGTGTATTCCCTGGACCAACTGCACCAGTATGTTCTGGGGACTGTTAGAAATGATAATTCTTGGGTCTCATCCCAGACCTTCCAAAACAGAAAATCTAGGCATGAGGGCCCAGCAATCTGTGTTTTTAATAAGCTCTTCAGGTGATTCTGATGTGTGGCAACGATTGAAACCCAGTGATAGGGCACTTACTAGGTGCCAAGCATCATTCTAAGCATTTTAAGGATACGCACACGTACATGATTTATTTATTTATTTATTTTTGAGACTGGGTCTTGCTCTCTTGCCCAGACTGGAGTGTAGTGGCATCATCACAGCTCACTGCAACCTCCAACTCCTGGGCCCGAGTGATCCACTTGACTCAGCCTCCCAAGTAGCTGGGAAAAGCACATGCTGGCATGCCTGACTGATTGTTTAAAATTTTTGTAGAGATGGGGTCTTGTTATATTGCCCAGGCTTATCTTCAACTCCTGGATTCAAGAGATCCTCCCACTTTGGTCTCCCAAAGTGCTAGGATGACAGGCATAAGCCATCTTGCGTGGCCCCATTTTAACCATTTTTAATTATACAATTCAGTGTTGTCAAATACAT